AATATATTATTATTTTAAATATTTTTACATATTTTTAAAAATTAAATCATTAAACGCAGTTTTAATTTTTTTTAAAACTGAAATTAATTTCTAAATAAAATTACTAAATATATTTTTAAAAATAATTTTAAATTAAAAATATAAAAACATTTTTATTTTTATTTTTATACAAAAAAAAAAATAAAATTATTTTTGAACTAATTCTAAACGCACATTTTCAGCTCCCTCCAAAATACCTCTCATGGTGTAATTGTATTGGTAGTTGGTACAAGTATCAGCGGAGAAAGCCAAGAAAGAAGACGACCCACACACACACGCGCGCGCACACACAAATCCTCTTTTCTCTCACCAGTAAGCTTCCAAAACTGCCGGCCATGGACGGCAGAAGAAGCTTCTCTATCTCCTCCTCTTTTTTCACGATCTTTTCTCTGCCATGGAATCCATTTGTCAATCACCCAAAAACCCAACACTTTTCTAGTCCTCAAAAGCAATGGGCTGCGTTCAAGCCAAGTCCTCTTCCACAAAGTCCCCACCTGGAAACCTTCAGAAAATGAAAATGGCAAATGGGTATGTGGGGAAAAAGGTTGGGCTTTTGGGTCCCAGGAGATCAACGGGTCAGAGATATGATGAAAGAGAGTATGATGGGAGATTTGGGGACAAACCCAGCGAAGGAAGTTTTGAAGATGGGAAAAATAATGATAATGATAATAATGGGAAGTTGATTGGCAGAGAGGAAGAGAAGGGTGTTAATGGCGGGAATGTTTCGAGGAGGATTTCCATGGAGGATGAGGAATTGGCTCAAGGATGGCCAAAATGGTTGCTTGATAATGTGTCTAGGAAGGTGTTGGCTGGGTTGGTTCCTAAGAGTGCTGAGTCTTATGATAAGCTTGCTAAGGTATTTTTTTTATGTTTCTGATCACTTTTTTGTGGTTGTTTTGTGAATTCCAATTTCCACATGTTTTTCAAGGTTTAGATTGTTGTCTGAAAAATATGGTGTCCGTTTATTTTCATTTTCATTTTTGTTTTTTACGTTTTAAAAAAAAAAAAAAAAAAACGGAAAAGAAAATGCGTTCGGAAAGGATCTGTACCAAAACTAAAAATAAAAATATTTTTCGATTTTTTTCAAACCCCACTCTTCTCTGATCGGTCTCGAGGATGTCGAGCCGCCGCCCCTTCCCCCCCAACTCTTCTCCGAAACCCATTTCCTCTGTTAGAAATCATGTATGTAATGTTTATATTAATATATTTATTTAATATTCTTATTTATTTAATATATTTAATATATTATTATTTTAAATATTATTATATATTTTTAAAAATTAAACCACTAAATACAATTTTAATTTTTTTTTAAACTGAAAATAATATCAGAATAAAACTACTAAACACATTTTCAGAATTGATTTTAAAATGAAAATGAAAACGTTTTTATTTTCATTTTCATACAAAAAAACAAAAACATTTTGGAACGAATTCTAAACACTGGATTCTTGGTTAGTTCTCAACCTTCATTCTTAAAAGTTTTGTGTTTGTAGGGTCTCCCCCCCCGCCACCCCCACCCCCCTCTTTTTCTTTTAAGAGTAGTTTCTTGGGAATCTGGATTAGTTGTTATATTGTACGAGTTATACATGAAGGATTGTTGTTTGAGTCTGAGTGAGTTGTTTAACAAAAATAAAAAACTGGAGTAACACAAGGAAATTATTATGTAAAAGAATGAACAATAAAACAAAACAAATTGAAGTGTAAACAAACGAAGGGCTTAATATTTATTTAATTTCCTGAATTTTAGGCAAGTAGAGAAAGTTTATGGAGAATTCTATGATAGGTATGTAAATCCTACTGGTAAGACATACTTTTCAACAGTTAAACCATATCAAATAGAGGAAAGTTTGTTCGTTTAACGAAACTAATGAAAATTTAACGGTTTAAGATTGTGCTTATTTGTGGGATTTTATTTTTTATTTTTTAAATTAGCCTACCAGAGAGTTGTACTAAGTTTATTAGTTGGCTAAATGAATGTTTGGAGAAAAGTACCATCTTTCAATTTCAACAACAGAACTTGGTTTAGATGTACTTTGTTTGATCAAATTCCAATATGCTTTTTTACAGGTGGGTCAGGGAACCTATAGCAATGTGTATAAAGCTCGAGATAGGGACACTAGAAAAATTGTTGCCCTAAAGAAAGTTCGCTTTGATACATCAGAACCCGAGAGTATTAGGTTTATGGCCCGAGAGATTACGATATTAAGGCAGCTGGATCATCCAAATGTAATGAAACTTGAAGGTTTGGCCACCTCAAGAATGCAGTACAGTCTTTACCTTGTTTTTGATTTCATGCAGTCAGATTTGGCAAGACTAATTTCCCGCCCTGAAAGGCTTACTGAACCACAGGTTTACTGTTTTTTTTTTAATGCTTATATTTTCGAAAAGATTCAGGATGTGGATGCTTTGTTTCATCTTATTTGCTAATCTGAATGATTGGTGATGCAGATCAAGTTCTATATGCATCAACTACTTTCAGGTCTGCAGCACTGCCATAGTAGAGGAATTTTGCATCGAGACATCAAAGGCTCGAACTTGTTGATTGACAAAAATGGAACGCTAAAAATTGCAGATTTCGGACTCGCAAATCATTATACTCCAAACCAGAAGCATGCTCTCACTAATCGAGTCGTGACACTTTGGTATCGAGCTCCCGAGCTGCTGTTGGGTGCTACTAATTATGGAGCGGGCATCGATCTTTGGAGTGCCGGATGCCTCTTGGCAGAGATGTTCTCAGGGAGACCAATCATGCCCGGTAGGACTGAGGTAATAATCATCAATTGCTGTAACCAAGATGGCAATATTTCTTTAGGTGCATGATAGAATTTAATTAAAGTTTAGAAGACGAGATCCAATTAGTTCACTAATCATAGAATAAAGATGGAGGGTAATTGATTAGAATATGAATTTCGTGTGATTTCAGGTTGAGCAACTCCACAGGATTTTCAAGCTCTGTGGCACACCATCAGAGGAATACTGGAAAAAGTTGAAGCTATCGACAACCTTCAGGCCTCCGCAAATGTACAAACCCAGTCTAGTGGAGACTTTCAGTGATTTCCCTGCATCCTCTTTGGGTCTGTTGAAAACTCTTCTTTCTTTGGATCCTGCATATCGCGGTTCTGCATCTTCAGCTCTCCAAAATAAAGTATAAAACTTGAAATTTCTTCTTGTCTTTGAAGCTTTTAGTTCAATTATTTGTCGGCCATTACTTTAATTATGAACTTGTTTCTGAATGATATAGTAATGAGGAAGCTCTGTTTACAGTTCTTCTGCACAAGGCCGTTGGCTTGTGACCTTTCTGGTTTACCTGTAATCCACAATGATGAGGATGAACTGGATCAAGCCAATGAAGCAAAGAAGTAAGTTTTGCTTTATTCAGTACTTCCATGGCTATAATGAGTACCAATCGTTTGCAAACATATGTCCAGATCATTCTCATCAGAAAACTTGACTTCAATGCTTATCATCTGATTTTAAGGATTCTATATATCAGAGGAACTGGGATCCTCCTGTAATGAATGACTGAGCACAGGGTCAAATGACCTCGAAATCATCCACCTAATACCGCTAAACCAAATAGAAACCGTATTCTACGAAATACCAAGATTGACATACAGATGATTTTTGAAAATGTAGAATTTACTTTGTAACGAGATGAACTTTTCTTACTCTGCTTTAATGCAGCTCTTAATTTACGATCTTATTTTCTCTAGTAGGCGAAAGACTATCTGATGCAGAGATTCCATATCTGTAATGGCATTAACAATTGTGTTTCTCATTTTACCAGGAACCGGAAGGACAGATATAGGCGATCTCGAACGCATCGTGAGCTCAGGAGAAGAGATTTATCTGCTGAGAAAACCGAAAATTCTCCTACTTCCAAAGAAGAAAAAGTAAGTATAGCAGTATCGGTTGGAAGGTTATGATTAGCCTTTTTAATGGTTTAGCTTATGTTTTGTCAACTATTCCTCTTTTTTGGGTTGTGTCCTGGCTATTGAGGGTTTTTTTTTTTTTTTTTTGGTCTACTTTTCTGGTTTTGGTTAATTGAATATCTTACTAATTATTAAGAAGATCATATTTAAGACTTGAGCCAGCCAGGTTAAAAAATATATATATACTGTAGCCAAAATCATTTCCCTTCCCTTGGTCCTTGCAATTGGTTCATTCCTCATCCGTTCATGATATATTAAATTATATTCCTTAAAGAAGCACCAGCAATTTTCATAACTACGACAGATTCTTTCCTCGCTTCTTCTTGAAACAAATGCAAAGTTGAAAGAAAGAATAGCATGAAGGGCTCTCTCTGAAACAGTTTCAGCATCAAACTATGACATTTCCACCCTTCAAAACACGCGAAAACAAAGAGTTTGTTTGCTAACTTCAAAGGAAAACACAGCCGGCGATTTATTTTTGCATTTACACACTTCTTTTGCCAACTCATTGATTGAGTTGTATGTTAAGACTATGATATGTGATGTTTCAGGTGGTGGTGAAGAATCCCGAGCCCCAGTCGAGCGTTCAAACGGAAGAGCAAAGTAGCAGTACGAGTAGTAGTAACTTCTCCGGTGTAAACCTGGCTAGACATATAGAGACAAGTAGCCCCACTACTAGTACTGCCTCTTCTAGTTTAAACTCGGGTAAACAGAAAGAAAGGCCACTGTTCTCGGTCTCTCCGGTTAGACATTCTAATCAGAAGATGCCATTAAGAACCCAAAGGTATTCGGACGCTCGCGAGAAGGACAAGAAATTGCCTCCTTTACCCACCAAGCCTAAAATACGCATCATCGATTACAGCAAAGAAAACAAGGTAAAGAAGGAGAATCAAATCCACAGGTCAACATCCACAAGAGAGTTTAGAAGTCTAAATCAAAAGGAACATTTAAAACTCTATGTTGTTGATGATTAAGACCATTTTTCAATTTGACTATTCTTTTGGTTACCTTTTGACGCATATTTCTGTTTTTGGTATATCTCTTTTTATTGAGAATATGCCAAATTAAATAAACATGAATAAACAAAAAGATTGACTGGCATGTACTATGCTATGCTTTGTACACCATTTAGTTTAAAATTTTTTTTTTTTTTTTATCCAAGATAATGCTGGTTTTATTGTAAACCAGCTTATTAGAAAGACAAGGAAGAATCATAATTGTAAATTATTCTTTTTTAGTTTCTCTTTGTAAAAGTTTTACTATGATTGATAAGGTATTATTCAGCCGATAGTTTTCTTCATACTTTACCTTACTCCCATCAATATTTGTTATTGTCTACGTTAGTTGCTAAAGTGGTTGTCTTGGTAACTTATTAAGCTCAAAAAGTCTTGCTTTGTTTTATATAATCTTCAAGTATTTTGTTTAGGTGCTTGCTAGACTGCTCATTAGAGGAATGAGAATAATAACTGATTCCTATTATTCTTTTTGAATAGTGTTAGGAACACCAACTCGAATCACGACATTTATAATAACTATAGGTGCAATCTTTTACCACTAAAATTATGACAACTTGTGAGTTGATAAATAAATTGAGATTAAGATTGGTGTCTATAGCATTATTTATCTTCGTATCATTAACATCAAATTAAGTGGTTTATTTTTATGTAGGACTAACAACAGTTATGAAGGAGTTATTGCTTATTTCAGAGAATAAAAAGGAGTTATTGCTTATTACAATACATAATAATAATAACTGAGTAGAATAACTAGTATTTTACAATTTACATTATAACGTAGAAGATGTTACATCTGTTATAAAATGAAACTTAACAATGACATTGGGATTTTTTTTTCTTTCTTTTTTTCTTCTTTGGTTAGCATGAGTTTCTACGATTATTAAGAATTGCAAACACAATGAGCGTGTTTGGTATCATTTTCGTTTTCATTTTTTACGTTTCTCGAGATAAAAAAGCAGAGATTGAGGAGGAAAACGCGTTTGGAGGAATAAAGGTGAAAAAAATGAAAACAAAAACGGTTTTCGGTTTAGTGTAAAATGACTTAAAAATTGAAAACGAATTTAAGTCGTTTTTCATTTTCAATTTTGGGTGGATGCCTTTTTTTTAGGCAAGTGGGTGTAGGCTTAAATTAACTAACAAAGTGCTCTTAAATTAAAAATAAAAATTGTATAACTAAACGGAGTTTCAATTTTTTCTTATACTAAAAACAATATCTTAATAAAACTACCAAAAGCATTTTCAAAAATGATTTCCGTCTGAGATTGAAAATGTTTTCATTTCCAATTTCACACAAAAAATAGAATCATTTTGGAACCAATTCCAAACATGATTCCTCCAGCCAATTTATACCCTCAAAGCTGCAAAAGATGCTGATTGCTGCACTTTCAGGGTGAGATTCAAAAACAGATAAATTAATTTTGACAAAAATGTCGTTGGTCATACATATGTAATTAGTATTGGCAAGTATTTATTTTTATACTGTACTTGGAAATTAGTAAACTACCCTCTTTGTGTATGATGCAGAAAAGTTGTGGAGTAAAGATCACGCATAAGGCAACAATGAACCAACTTGATCAGCATAGATTCCTCCACCTACGGTTAAGCATGCAGACCTCTCATAGGATTTTCTTTTTTTTCTTTTTTTTTTTTTTGATAAATTGACCTCTCATAATGTTCTTTTAGGTTATTTGAATGACAATGTTGGTCGGCTACTTGGGGGATTATTCACAGAATATCTCTACCAATTAAAGATCAATGCAAGAAATTGCTGTGTAAATGTTATACACATATATGCCCTTGTTATTTTCTTTTCTTTTTCTTATTCTCTTTTTTTTTTTGTGATGGAGTCGGAATTTTTTTTTTTTTCAATTGTCATTATGAAAAGATTTAGAAATACTTTAAAAAAAATAGAAATACTGTTTTAATGAGTGCGGATATTACGGAGACGTTTGGTTTATAGATTAGAATCATGTGATTAGAACTATTTTTGATTTACGCGTATTTTTTTGTGAGAGAAAACACTGTAGCGAATTATGAATCATGATTCCAATCATGGTGTGAATCCTCCAACTAAACATCTCATATATATATATATATATCACAATTATTGAAAGAAGGTCTAAAAATAATCTCTCTTCTATACAACTGAAATTTAAAAAAGATCGATTTCTAAGACCAAAAAAAAAAAAAAATGTAAACTTCTTAAAATTTGAACCCCGCTCATTTGGACGTGTCTCCGCAACTGTTTGATGCAATCATAATTAGTCATGATGTGTGTAGTTAAAAGTTTAAAACGTGAATAAACACATTAGTAAATAGTAATTGTTGTTCTTATTATTATTATTATTATTATTATTATTGTCTAGCTACATGACGTGTAAGGAAAAAAAAAATGGATAAACACAGCGAGCTAAAAAATAGAGAGAAAAATTAGATTCTTTAGTTTTAAACTTCTTTTTCGCTTAAACATGAAAGTCGACGATCGAATTTTATGAAATGTTACATAAGTTATGGTTGGTGGCCATTTAAAATATTTATGAAGAGAAATACCTTATCAGTGAATGTTCGCGAACTGGTCTCATTATTTAGTATTATTATTTTTTTATTTAAAGCAACCGTCTCATTATTATTGAAACTTATATATATCAAACTCTTTTTGTCCATAAAAAATTATTTATACAAATTCAAAGTTACCAGATTATCCTTTAAATGGAACAGTATATATATAGTTTTCAAAGCAAGACTACTTCATTCATTATCGTCGAATAGCATAATATATATATATATACACACACACATGACTGACTTGTGTATATACATATATATATTATGCATTCATATATATATATATATATATATATTTTGATGCATTGACTCTAGTATTAACGGAAGAATATTATATATAACAACTCCGTATATAGTTCTACTCCCCAACCAATTGTGCCAGCAAGATTTTTCAGTAAATCCAGCGAATAATGTTTTTCGAAACAAGCATTGAAACAACAAACAATAATGGATGTCTCTGAATCTTGAAACAACCGTTTTAATTAACTTTTATAATTGTTCTCCAATAGATATGTTCTTTCAATCTATATATATGGATCTCTCTTTCCTATATACGTACATTTCCAAAATGAACCTACCGGGCTTTAAAATATATATATATATTAAGGTTAGGGATTTAACTCTCCATACTTTATGGTGGAACTAAGTGTAGAATTATCATTAGATTATAATTGCAACCACAAGCCAAAATTTTCTCTAAAAAAAAAGAAGAGAAAAAACTTTACATAAATATATATATATAAAATATGGATGCATGCATCAATAACTCATTGAAAATCTTTCATCATGAGAATACAAAATAAATAAAAAAATAGTATATTTGTCTTTTTATAGATTTGAGCCCTTAGATTTATCAAAATATGTTAATAAATCAGTTGCATATAATTAATTCTCATATAATTATTTTTAATGTAATGCAATTATAGAACAATTGATTTTAGAAAATTTCATATGAGATATGTACTAGTAACTAGTGAGGTAGGGTGTCTCTGTCAAACAAGGAGTGTCTCACCTCTGCTTCTCCTTCATCCTCCCCATCCACATATATGAGATGCATGCATGCAACCAAAAGTAGTAGTAGTGAATATTAATTTGTTTTTTTCATTTGTTGTATATGCACATTTTTTTCTTTATTTCTTTTGGCGTTTGGTTTCTGAAAATAGTGGACCCTCCTCTAGATTCCGTGTTAGAAGATCTACTTTCTACTAATGGATGCGTTCAGCCTTATCAATACCTTATATAGTATTATTCTGGTTTTTATATCTACCGTTTATTCTACGGGTGTGCATCAAACCGTCCAAACCAATTAAATCAACCGGATCAAACCAAACCAAATAATAATTAGTTTAATATAGTTTGAATTTTTAAAAAATCAATTAAGTTGGTTTAGTTCGTGGTTCTACTCCTAAAATATCCAAACTAAACCAAACCAACTTTTATTTACATATGTTTTGAGAAATTATATGTATTTCAGACATTTATCAAAATATAATTAACTACTTATTAATATGTTATTATATTTTACTATTTTATGGATGATTAATTTATGACGTTAGAAGTTCTTTTTGTTATGAATTATGTATTTATTTTGTGTGTTTTGGATACTTTTGATTGAGTAATAAATGAATGTTTATCACAGCTTTGGTTCTTATTATGGTTGAGAACATATCGATGAATATTAGTTCAAATCAATTAAAAAAATCAAACAAGACCAATTGTAATTGTTTTAGTTTGGTTTCGATTTCATCGCTTAAATAATTTATTTCCCACTTGGTTCATGGATTAGAACCATGTGATTAAAATCATTTTCGATTTACGTGTATTTTTTGTGAGAGAAAATACTGTAGCGAACCACGAATCATAATTCGAATCAGGGAACGAATCCCTTTACCAAACGGTACGTTTTGTTTGCACTTAACCTAAAATAAATGGTTTGATTTGGTTGCACACCTCCAGTTTATTTCATGTTTTAACTCAATATTAATCCCTCCTTCTATTTATTTATTTTTTCGCGGTTATAATCCTTCCTATTGTTCAAATCCGCCTTAATTTTTCCATCGAAAACAAAAATTAAAAAATTCGCCTTAATTTTAGTCAATATGGGCGCGCCCAGTGCTGTCTATTTCGAGAACTTGGTGTGAAAACTTTGAATATTGTAATTTCACATTAACTACAACGTGTAAAGGATACGCTTTTATATCTCGAAATAATGCTTTTAATATTTTCAACGTGTTGCAAAGTGATAAAAAAAAATGGAGAAAGAAGAAAATAGGCCAAGACTTGAGATGAATTAAAATTAATAGGCCAATAAATAGGCTAAATTACTGTTTTCGTTTATAACTTGTCAAGTTATGACTTGTTTGGTTATGAACCATAACTTGACAAGTTATTGTCCATAATTGTCTATAACTTGTTTGGCTATGAACCATAACTTGACAAGTTTATCCATAACTTATATGGTTATGAATCATAACTTGATAATTTATGGCCTATTAATTTTTATAACTAAAAATTTACCTATATACTTTCTTAAACTTTTCATATTGACCCATTTTCTACTATTTTCCTAAAAAAAATGATTTGCGACTAAATGGGGATTTTTTTCTTATCTTCACTTTTCGCTGAAAACATATAAAAAGTTATAAGGCAATATATTTAGCTGAAAATATATAATAAGTTATAAGACATAACCCAAAAGTATCGTATATAATTTGATCTTTTCTTAACGGAATCAGTCAGGAGTCACTACCCAAAAAGTAAATTGTCTCTTCTTTTTATTTTTTATTTTGAGTGTCACATTTTTGTCGGGGTAAAACTTTTACTGACAATTTTATACCAGTTAAATATATTTGTTTTAACTTTAAAAAACTAGTCGTCTGCCATGAAATTTTCAACACCATTGTAATCTAACTATTTGCAATTTCATTTGGTAAGTGATATTTATCCCATTTTGGTGTAAGCACGTACAACTTTGCTTTTGATTTCTTTCGCTTGTCTTACTTTCATTAATGAAGAGTTGATAAATATTGAAGAAGGTAAGGGTAAACATCTCAAAATTTTTTAAAAAAGAAGATAAATTTTATAGTGAAATTGTAGATGCCAACATCGGGAATGACGACCAGAAATGGGGTCATGTTTGGGGTTTGGGATTGGGTTCTAGAACCGAGATCAAGGTTCAAGTCTGTGTCCGAGATTAGGGCTCGATCAGGATCTAAAGTTTAGGACCAGAGTCATGGTCAGGTTCTTGGATCGACATCCAAGTTGGGGTCTATAGTTTGGCTTGAGGTGGGTCAAGGTTCCAAACCATGACCTTAATTGTGATGCCTATCTCGAACCTCGACCTCTGGTCCCCGACCCCAAAACTAGTACTGGACCCGTCCTTACAGCTAATCCTAGACCTAATCCCTAACCCCAAACTCGATCGTGGTCCCGCATCATGACTCCAGCCTCACCCTGGTACCTGACCATGAATATAGTCCAAAGTGGTGGTCTTGAAATCCTACTATGATCCGGTCGGTCTCAGACACCACCCGGTCTCGGGACCAATAGTCGAGGTTGTGGTCGAATGAGGGAGAGTGATCAATGCCTAAATTCAATACTTAATACAACAAAAATGGTATATTAATGCAACACAATATATTTAGACAACACAGAGTGAAACACCATATTGTATAAAAATTATACAATATACAACGTAACACACTTCAATACAGTACAATGTGGTTCATCCAACGCGCCCTAACGAAAGTATCACTCTACTTCCTCAAAACAACAGCAGTTAGCCTTCTCAGCAACCCTCTTGTTTTCAATATTTCTCAAAAAAGAAAAAAAAAAAAAGTTTATTGTTTTCAAGACATCCTCACATTAGCAGTATACTTGGCGTTCATCCTCCCAGCTCAACAATATCGGTTCTGGCAATAATGTTCGTGCGTCTATTTTAAGATCCTGGCTCGTGTTTGTCGGGTCTTATATATGTGTATACCTCTTAACCAGTTCTCTTATCTTATCGTAGTACAAATGCAATAAAAACCAAAAAAAAAAAAAAAAAATGGAGTTTAATTTCAAATCCAATAGAAAACCATCTCACTCTTTTATTATTGGTTTTTCCCCTTCAGTAGGACCCCTTGCCTTAAATCGAAACCTGACCTGGTTAAAGGATTTAATTAATTAAAAGTGTCCAACTATATTTGTAGCAACATATTTTTGGACGAGCATATATGAACTAAGATGAGTAGATTTTGCATTTCAAAAAAAAAAAAAAAAGAGTAGATTTTGAGTAAAATTAGGTTTATATAGCTTTTTTTTTCCTATTTGGGCGTACAAATGTGCACGCTACACCTAATTAGTTTATTCGCTGCGGAAAGTAAACGCTTTTGTTTAATTTTTAATTCACTATAACATAAGAAAATGCAAAAAAAAAAAAAAAAAAAAAAAAAAAAAAAAAAAAGTGAATAAGTTGATATTATTTTAAAAGGAATAATTTATTCACATTTCATATAGTAAAAGAGAAAAAGAAATCATTTAAAAAAATGATAATTAATCATTCTAGTTTTCCATGCATGTCCCCTTCTTTTCTCTTTTCAATTATTTTTTTTTCTTAAGTAAATAACAGGAGATGAGGATTAATATAAAGAAAGATTAAAATATTCCTACTAAATTAGCGCAAAATGAACTCATCCTATGCCAAAACTTCAACTCTAAATTATTAAAAAAAAACGATAAAAAAAATAATTAAGGTACATTAATGAAGTGGCAAATGCCAGCCCCTCAAGCAAAGAATCCAAGAAGCAACTCCAAATAAATGCTCAAAAAGAGAAATTAAAAGTTCTTGAAAATAGACAGTAGGGCTTACAATAGCTCAAGTTCAATTATGTCGAAAGCTTATAGTCATCAATCATCTAAAACTATTTATGCAAGTTCAGTTACCATGATCATTGATTTTAATTTATATTCTTCTTTTTTTTTCTCTCTCTCTAAAGATCAATTAATCAAACATACTTATATCTATAAATCGTATCGTGTATATAATTTGTTTTATGTATATTATATACATATATGCATGTGGATATTTCTTCTGTTAATATTTACATGTATTCACGAGTACAATTATCATCCTATTATTTGTATGTAAATTAAGTTAGCTTAACAAATGTATCAAATTATGGAATATAACCACATATATATGTGTATGTATATAATTGATAAGGAAAAAAGCAGACTATATAAGAGAGAGACTAGAAAAAAGAAAAAGAAAAAAAAAAACGATGGTATAAATTACATAAAATGCATGGCACATATCACAAATGCAATTTCCGTCAATGATCAAGCACAAGCAGTCATCATCATTACATAACACTCTTT